AGTAGTAGTAGTAGTAGTAGTAGTAGTAGTAGTAGTAGTAGTAGTAGTAGTAGGTAATGTGTGCTGCAGGTCAGAGTGCGCAAAGGTAAAGTCAGGTCTTGAACTTGAACATGACTTTTGCCCTCCTCTGTCGAGGACTGACGTTAAATTTGGAGCTCGCGCCCCTGAAATAACTGTTTTTGTGATTGCAGTGTTAACTTAATGTGTTACATTCTATGAAGCCTGTATACGCTAACAACAAGAGATGGCGTCAGTGGTTACCGATTCTAAATAGTTCTCACTGCATCTCTCTGACTTTGAGCTCAAACACTGATTGTATGAATATATAGGAGGGCTCATTTATTTAAAGTGTCATTTTGCACCAGTTTCTACAAAAGTTTATAAAATTCAATAAATCGGACGTCAGATTCGTCAATATGAGGAAAATCGATTCACGTATATGATAAACATTAAGTTTTTTTTATAATTTCAACAGAAACTGAGTAAAACGAAAAGTTTACCACTTTTTAGTTTTAATAAGAGTTTTACGGCACTTGCAACACAAATAGGTCATATAAGTTCCGGGGTTTAGGGGTGTTACTTACTAACCAGTAGCATACAAAGTAAAGAAGGAGGCGAGATAAAGATGATAGATTTTACAACTTGAACAAAAATGGGTATTTATTGTGCATTAAAGAACAAATTCATTAGAAAATTAATGACATTGTCAAAATTGAATAAATCTAGGAAACATTTCTTACAGAGTATAATACGCTCCAGGTGTTGACCATAAAGAAATTCAACAGACAGGCTCGAATACGTCGCGAAGGAATTTTGAATAATCCTGTGATATGTTTCTGGGTCGATTCTTTGGACCTCTGTTCCACATTGAGTCTCAGCTGTTCGATTGTTTGAGGGTCGTTTGCGTAGACTGTCTTCCAACAAACAAATAAACAAACACGCAAACAAACAAACACAACATTGAAAACATTGCACTTTGAATAAGTCTTCTTTGTTTGTTTGTTTTGTGTGTGGTTTTTTTTTTTGGGGGGGGGGGGTTTGTGTGGTTTGTTTGTTGTTGTGTTTTTTGCTGCTGTTGGGGTTGTTGTTTTTTTTGGAAGGGAGTGTTTTTGTTATTTTTTTACACCCTGTCAATGGCCATGTCAGTTTTGAATAAATTTACTACACATTATGATTGATTTTTAAGAAGTAATTAAGTTTTGTGTTTTATTCAATTTTTTTTTTAACTTGACATGTCGAGTACGTTGTTTGATTTTCTCCATATTGATAATTTGGACGTTCCCTTGGTTGAATTTTATTAATTTAAGGTTTTGCTCAAATTTGTAAAACGATGACATAGTCCCCCCCCCCCCCCCCAAAAAAAAAAACCCCCTTTGTTACAGATACCCAGTGCAATAACTGTCAAAATGCTTTTCCTAATGACGTCATAGCTCTCGTTACCACTCCTACCTGTTTTGACGTTCGAGCATCGAGCATTACTTGTATACACCGCATTTGATGACGCCTTTGATCCTGGGGGGATTCGCGTAATAATTTTCACAGCGTGATGATCTTGTATTCAGCTACTCTGTTCTTGCACTGTGGCCCATGACCTTGCAGATCTTGTGGTTATTCTACGACTTTCATTTTTTGTGGCATAAATACAGTGTATTATTATATTACTCAATCTCTCCATAAATAATTATGTTTGTATATTTTGAAGATTTTTTAAAATAACGAAAGTGTGCATACAAATCAAATATTGTATTTACGAACGAATTTTCATTAGAGACCCCATACCTTTTCTAGACGACACACATACCAGAAAGGAAGTCATGAGGATGAATAATTTTCATTGAAGTATTCATTTTTGCACTAAAATTCCCACCAAAGTTAAGCCCCTCAGTTTCCAAATTCACAAAATCAGCACCATACTCATGACTGACTGACACTGTCGACGCATAGAAAAGATAAGTTGTTAGATAAACTGCTAGGGGAATGTGCTGATAGATTTTTTCTAGCCATTTCTCAATTTCATCTAACGTTTTGGGCTGGTCAGTTCTCGCTGAGATTGGTCTTTATCCAGTGACATAACGTGCCGCAGTGATGCAGGGCCCAGTCTGTTCTGGAGATGAATGCAGTGGATGCCCCAGCCTTGTCACTGCGTGGTGATCCCAGGCCTATACCACTTCCAGGTCTTTCATTTCTCCCTCTAGACGCCTTTACACGTGCCCACAAACGTCCAATGCTGTTTCCAGGAACGTTGAGCTCCTGAGCCACGTACATCTCGCTGTGTATTTTCCAGCCTGGGGCATTCCTGACGTTCACCTCCTATAATTGTGTATAAACAGCTGAAATATCGCTGCATTTTATGTTTTTCGACATAAACAGACTTAAAGGAAGTGAATCTTAGACTCAAAAATTCTAAACACGTTTACAAATACTGTAGTTGCATTATAGGGACAGTTGAATGAATTTAAACACATAGAGTAATCTCCCTTGACAAACTATATATGTTTTGCTAAAACTCGTGCCACTAACGAAAACAGCTTACGTCATTTTCCATGGAAAAGTTGGCGACTGTTGAACTTCAGTTAATCAAACTGTAGCTATTCACAGTATGCACATTTTCTTTTTTTTTCTTTGAGTACATGTACACAAGTACATAATATTATACAACAAACACTAAAAGGAGGAAGGATAACGACGATAGATGTTTGGTAGGAAAGAAGGAGCAAACTGCACCAGAGAATTCGCTAACCAACCTCTGTGTTATCTGTCTGTCTTTCTTAGGTTTCAGATAAGACAAAAGATTTGTACTGATAACGTTAAAAGTTATTTAGAGTACCAAAAAATATAACAAAAAACACATTTTTTTAAAACACAGAGCGTCTTCAAGCGTTGTCGTTTAACCAGAATGTGCGTCTTCAACAAGTTTTTAAAAATGTCTATATCATCTTTGTCTTCCACCAGGTGGAGGTGGCGTCGTTGCGGCCCGGTGGTTATACGAAGTGCCCATTGGGGGATCGACAAACCGATCGCCAACCGATCGCCCGACTCGTCGCCTGAAAACAAACGTATTTCTTTTTGAGGCGACGAGTCGGGCGATCGGTTTGTGCCACGATAGTCGCTTTGCGCTCTCAATCTGGCTAGCAAACCGAACCGAACCGATCGTGTTAATGGACACTGGGTATTACTATTAGGCTACCAGACCCGCAGTCGTTAGATTGCGGGTTCGGGAGTTCGAGCCTCAGCTCGGTCCGAAGTTGTGTCCCTGGGAAAGCCACTTTTCACGAATGTCCCATTTGGCTCGGTCTTTTCGGAGATGGGCGTTAAACTCGGAGGTCCCGCCTCTTAAATAACCTAATAGTAGGGATAGGGCCGTTAAACCTATACTATTTCACATTTTTTTTCACCAGGTGGAAATGGCCGGCTCAAGTATTTTCGATTACGTGCATGTGCAGGACCATAGCGAGCTCGTTGAGCAACTAGGGATGTGTCTCGTCCCAGGTGAGTGAGTTTGTGTAGACGTAAGTGTGTAT